TATATATAGCCTAGCTTTATTATGTTTTTCTCCACTCGCAGAAGCACTGCAGGTGTGTGATGTGATATGATGGCCATGTGAATCCTCATGTTCTGTTGTTTGCTGCTATTTGCGCATGTAAAATTAATACCTGGGAAACAAATGTTAGTATTTTTAACGGGTCACAGACACTTATGCTTTCTAATTTAATTCAATTCTGATTTAAAATAATCTTGTCGGTTAATGGTTAATAATCGGTTAACGAGCGTCCGTTGTCGGTTAGGAAAAATAACCGAAATGAACATCCCTAATCTGTGCATATTTCTCTCTTGATTCAGACGAGACAGCCTTTTTCACTGGGAAAAGAAATATTATGGATAGAGTATTTTAATCATAAGCAACGGTTTGAAAACCTCTTAATGATGGATTTGTTTCACAAGATATTACCGTAATTAATGGACTGAGGCTGACTGTCACTGTACATTATCCATTACTTGGCATAACTGTAAGTGATATTGCACAAAGCAGTTAAATTGTGAGTTCGCAGGTATGTGACAATGAGTATGTTGTAGATGTTTGTGTGACTAAAGGCCTTTCCACACTGAGTGCGCGTTGTCGGTTAGGAAAAATAACCGAAATGAACATCCCTAATCTGTGCATATTTCTCTCTTGATTCAGACGAGACAACCTTTTTCACTGGGAAAAGAAATATTATGGATAGAGTATTTTAATCATAATCAACGGTTTGAAAACCTCTTAATGATGGATTTGTTTCACAAGATATTACCGTAATTAATGGACTGAGGCTGACTGTCACTGTACATTATCCATTACTTGGCATAACTGTAAGTGATATTGCACAAAGCAGTTAAATTGTGAGTTCGCAGGTATGTGACAATGAGTATGTTGTAGATGTTTGTGTGACTAAAGGCCTTTCCACACTGAGTGCGAAAAAGTGAAACGAGTATCGGACGCGATGACGCGCTGGAATAAAACAATAGATTTCTATGGATGCTTCCACATAGACCGCGAACATTCGCGCACCGAAAATGCAAATGTTTTTTTTTTCCGAACCAGTCTGACGAATCTTTTCAGTTTCGCAAATCGAAATCACGGGCCGTCCAATAAGATTTGAGCTAGGATCACATGACCGGAGCAGCTGCTGTTGCACAAAAGGGTGAGAGTGGTGGCGCTGTTTCAAAAACCAGTGTAAACAAACATCGAAGAAGAGTATCCCGGATAGAGGACAGAAGAGAGTGGATGCTGAGTTCTTGTTATCGTTGGTATTTGAGAACAGGTTTATTCTCACATGTTCTTTATACTGAATAACATTTCTATTAATTGTCCACTGAATTATGTAATCACAGTAGAGCACTGTCCGTTTTCTTCCATGTGCGCGAGTGTTAAGAGTCCGAGCGCGTTAAATCTTTTTCTACACATGAAATATGAAAGCAAATAGACATGATTATGACGATATATTTTCTGTATGTGTTTTGTATGCAGATGTGGGAAATAATGTGTTTTTTTAACTTTAAACCGCATAAACACATATCATTACACCAAATACACAAAATAATGTTCTTTTTAGCAGCATCATATGACCCCTTTAATTTAATGCTGTATGTTGAGCAGCGGACAATGTTAAATCCATTTACGAGATACGTATCTGAGGAAAAATGCATTGCTGGTCGGCGCCACCTAGCATGCAGACGTGAATTAGCAGAAGGCGAACAATCGTTTCGCGTTCGGTCTGAAAGCACCGTTTGTCGGTGATTCGCCTCGCTTTTTCGCATTGCGCTCAGTGTGGAAAGGCCTTAAATGTGTTTTGTCTCTTTCTATTAATAAAAAATATAAAATTTAAAAAGTTTTAGGTTTATTTATAAAAGCCTTTTTTAATATTGAGATTTAATGACTGAGCAGATCTGTTTTTAATATGAAAAAATTACTCTTTTTTTTTTTTTTTTTTTTTTTTTTTTTCATAATTTGGTATTTTGGGGAACAAAACATATTAAATTGATCAAAAGTGACAGTAAAGACATTCATAATGTTGCAAAAGATTTATATTTCAAATAAATGCTAAATGTTGAACTTCCTGCTTATCAGAGAATCCTGAAAAAATGCATTACAGTTTCCGCAAAAATATGAAGCAGCGCAATAATAATATTTCACAATATTACTGTTGCAGCCTTGGTGAGCAGAAGAGACTTCTTTCAAAAACATTAAAAAGATATTTTATATAAATTTCGAACATTTATTTTAACATTTAATTGCTGCTATCTACACAGTGTTTTCAATTAATTTATAGTAATTATGGTGTATATTTTTTTTATTTAATTTAGTGTTAAATTATTATAGTGATTTAATTTTCATGTGTGAATCCCTCTCTGTGTCTCTGTAGGAGACGGACAGCAGGAGGGTCAAAACAATCAGATTCTATACCGTAAGAGAGATGCTTCCTCCTCTTTACCTCCTGCTGGACCTACATCGCCTTCCTCATCCTCATCAACCTCGTCTCAGGGGTCACCTGACCTCAGACAGCTGAAGCCCCTTTTCACCCCGCTCTCCTCGGACCAATCACAGGCGGCCGCGCGGGCCAGAGAGTTTGCCGCTGACATTTTCCGCCGAGCTCAGGCTGGAACGAGGGAACACGACAGAAAAGCCAAAGAGAAAGAAGAGACGGACCCTCAGCGATTCCACAGCGAGGAAGAGCGAACGAGAGAGAGACAGGAACGAGACGCAGAGGTCCCGGGACCCTCGTCTTCCTCCTCAGGACAGAACCAAAGTTCAGTGTCACCCACAGAGGCAGAGGACAGTGCTGTGTGTAACGCAGTCATGTCTCCTGGATCCACCTCCTCCGTCTCCTCTTTGTCTCCACATGCTCATGAGCCTTCATCCTCCTCTTCCTTCTTTAATTTGTGATAATGTCAGGCTGGCTGTAGATAATCCATTACTTGGCATAACTGTAGATGATATTGCACAAAACGGTTAAATTGTGAGTTTGCAAGTGTGTGACAATGAGTTTAAGTTGTTAATTTTTGTATGACTAAAATGTGTTTTTTCTCTTTCTATTAATAAGGATTGTCTCAATGTGTTTATTATAAATAAAATATAAAAAGTAGGTTTTATTTATAAAAGCCTTTTTTAAAATGTTGAGATTTTATGACTGAGCAGATTTAATTCTAATACAAAAAACTTCATGAATCATTTTTTTTCTTCTTTAGACAATGAGTGACTTTGACTACTTAAAGCTGCTGGGTAAAGGCACTTTTGGAAAGGTGATTCTAGTGAGGGAAAAGGCTACTGGCATGTACTACGCCATGAAGATCCTACGCAAAGAGGTCATCATTGCTAAGGTGGGCAGCACACGAATCAGAACTTTAAAATGCTCCTGAATGATTTGTTTGAGTCATGACACGGTTGTGTGTCTTTTTTTTTTTGTTGGTCTCAGGACGAGGTTGCACACACAATCACAGAAAGCAGAGTGTTACAGAACACACGGCACCCCTTCCTTACGGTACGTTTAATTTCCATCAGGGTTTTTTATTATTGCACAATTCTCTTGGTTTTAGATTTGTTAATTCACATTGTTTTCAATCTCTCTACAGACACTAAAATACGCCTTCCAGACACGAGATCGATTGTGTTTTGTCATGGAGTACGCAAATGGAGGCGAGGTTTGTCACATCCTGTCACTCCTTACAAAAACAAACTAGAAAAGCCTACACCATTCTGTCTCTTTTAAAATTCTGTTTTGTCTCCTTTTTACGTGTTTCCAGCTGTTCTTCCACTTGTCTCGAGAGCGTGTGTTTACGGAGGATAGAGCTCGCTTCTATGGGGCTGAAATTGTTTCAGCATTGGAATATCTGCACTCTAAAGATGTCGTCTACAGGGACCTAAAGGTTTTCTGTGTTCCCAATGTTTAATGTTCTATATGTAATTATTGTGAAAATAGTTTGAATTGCTTTTTGAAAATTGTGTCATAGACCACAGACATGAAATCTGTCTTCCTTTTTTACCACATATGGTAAAACTCTATTTCCTAATTCTTTCAATTGTGTTTCTCTCTGCAGCTGGAGAATCTAATGCTGGATATAGATGGTCACATTAAAATCACAGACTTTGGCTTGTGTAAAGAGGGCATTACTAATGAGGCCACCATGAAGACATTCTGTGGGACCCCAGAGTACCTTGCTCCTGAGGTACTGCGAACTCACTTCATGAACTTGTTTTTTCAGTTGATTTTTGGATCATAGTTTGATAGATTAAAAAGTAGAAAAACGATGTGAATCAGTCCCAGCTCTGATTTGCTCATTTTCTGACCTATTATAATGGAATCCCACAGTGTTTTAAAGCAGGAAACCGTCTTGTTGTTTGTGTGTTTTGAACCACATTGAAAGGAGAGCAGAAGCTAAAAAGCATCTTCGCAATATTACACAATACATGTCAGGAAGTGCTAGATGAAGGTATAAGAAAATATTTTGCCCTGAGGTATTTCTTCAAGTGAGTAGTTAAAGGGTTAAACAAAAATGTTTTGAGGCTGAATTTAGAAAGTATCATTTTATGTGGAATTTAGCATATTACATAAATTTTGTTTCTTTAAATATTAAAAGATGAAAAATAATATTTAAACATTGTTCATTTAAACAAGTCTTATGAAGCAGAAAGCTGTAAAACAAAAGGCTTGAAACAGTTTTCTGTTACATTTGGGTGATTCTATAATTGGAGATACATTTGGCATTTCATAAAGTAAAAAAAAAAAACTATTCACTAACAGAAATTCTTTCCAGTATCTAATTGAAAGCATATTCAATTTTAATAATTCAGTGCTTGCCAAACACAAGTTGCTTCCTTTTTTACTTTTAATGAAAAAACAGATGTCTTTATAGTATTGTTTGTCAACTCTGTTACGGACAAATTAGGCAATGTGTAGAAATAACAATAAATCATAAAAGGAAAAATCCTTCTTGTATCATTAGACAAACAGTCCTTACATTCCAAAATTTGGAACTGAGGTAATATTTCACCTATGCATACCTTAAAAATAAAAAATACCTATGACTTCACAGAGTTGTCCACTTACAATATCCAGTAAAAAAAATATTATAAGGGTGCATCATATCTCAATGTTTGAGATTTTAAACAACAATTGTATTGTTTTTTGTGAAAATAGTTCATAAACAGAGTTGACCCTTTAAGTAACAGAATTGTAAAGTAACAGAATTGACAGAATTATCCGGTGGACTGTCAATTCTGTTACCTTATTGTCAGCATTGTTACTCTACCTTGGTAACAGAATTTAACGGTAACAGAATTGACAATTTTATTTTATTTTTGCCAAAAACTCATAAATGCTAAGAGCACATGGCACTAATGAAATCATGATTACAATACCTTTAAATAACCCAATATGTGATCAGTAATATTTTTTTCCCTTTTGATCTTGTGGTAACTGTTGACATTCTTCAAAATAACTCTTGGTATAAGAACTTTTTAGATAAAATGTTTTTTCTAATCTAAAAAATTTTTCACAGACTTTTCAGTGCTTCAGATCTTATCAGTGAGGGAAAGTGACATCATTTCCTGTATCTTACATAGTTGTGGGATATATAGCCATTCAACATTACAGTATAATTTAGAGATATCAGTTTTAACATTTATTAGACTTTAAAAAAATGACTTCTAATTTAAATTAACTTAAAACAATCTTCACATAAACCCATTATAAGAAATGTCATATTTACCTGCGGCCTTCAGCAGAAATATACAGAAATTGAAATGGTCAAACACTAAATTCTAAATTAAATATAGATGAATTCTTGAAGCTATAAAAGTTATTGATTTCCTCTTTTTTTTCTCTTTGATTAACAGACATCACCGCAGCCGGGTTATTAGGTTGTTTTGGCTGCTATTTCTTTAAGAGCTGCCACTGCTGAACATGACGCAAATCTGACATGCATTGTATTTTCTCTCAAATCTCTTTACCTTTTCTGACCCACTTCAGTTCTTAATGTCTCTACTAATTAACTGACGTGTTGAATCGGGTGTGTTAGATGAGGGAGACAGTGCTGGGATGCTCCAGGACAGTTTTGAAAACCATTTCAGAGACATGTTCTTTTATGTGACTCATATACAGTGGGGCAAAAAAGTATTTAGTCAGCCACCAATTGTGCAAGTTCTCCCACTTAAAAAGATGAGAGAGGCCTGTAATTTTCATCATAGGTATACCTCAACTATGAGAGACAAAATGAGAAAAAAAAAATCCAGAAAATCACATTGTAGGATTTTTAAAGAATTAATTGGTAAATTCCTCGGTAAAATAAGTATTTGGTCACCTACAAACAAGCAAGATTTCCGGCTCTCACAGACCTGTAACTTCTTCTTTAAGAGGCTCCTCTGTCCTCCACTCGTTACCTGTATTCTTTTTGGTAACTTCATGACTTATCTGACCACGACATTGCATGCACGTAGTTTCATTCACGCTTTGATATGAAATGATACAGGGTACTGCGCGCGCCGGCGCCTTTGTTCGTGCAATTGAAGAGCACGAGCTACGAGCACAGTACCGTTTCCGCGCTCGTTTGAGTCTCGCCTGGTGCTGAAGTGAAGTTAGAGCGCGCATCTGAAACGTCTCCTGTTTGATGTGGTCATAAAGATGTTCAGCAACTGAATAAATACACTTCTTGTCAAGAAAAAAGAGATAGAAGCAGCAGTTGTGAGTGAGTTGGCCAACCTTAGCTCCGGCACTGCATTAATTGCGTTAAATATTTTTAACGTGTTAAACTGAAAAAAATATTTTTGAAATAATAAACTGAAATAAATAATTTTGACAGCACTAATAATAACATTTCTAACAATAATTTCAAGTAAGGTTTTACCATTGGGATACGTGGGGTAGGGGTGGGCGATATACTGGTAGACACAATTAACCAGTAGAAATTTGTCAACTGGTAGAGATTTTCGACTATCATCTCTTTTGCGGTTACATGCTCACGTGACATTGCTGTGCTACATGGTCCCGAAAATGTGTAGTTTGCATGCATTTTTATGCATTGCGGTTTAAAAACAAGTAATTTTAAGCTGTTGAAACGTAATCAGCAGCAAAAGAGAACTCATTTCACTATATGCACGCACTGTCTGAGAGACCGTTTCTGAGCGCTGTCAGAGAAGTGTGCGCACGTGAAGACGGTGCTCATAGAGTGCGGGAGTATTGAATGGAGTTATTTTTGCCATTTTATAGGCCTTGAACAGTTAAATACACACACTTGCATGCGTTAAAATTCCTGTCTTTGTCAGTATAATCGTAGACACAGTAATTTAGGTCTTAAGTGAAAGCAAACTGAGAAAGCTGAGAAAGAAAACGTGTGTAATAGTATATTGTATCCGGGTAGCTCTTAAAGTGACAGCAGTCTAAAATTCCTGCTTTCTGTCATTCATGTTAACCAAACAACAAAAGAAAGAAAATAATCATATATATATATCGTGATATATTGTATATCATTACTGTGAAATAAAATTACTCATATCGTGATGGTACACAAAAAGGTGAACCTGGTAATAATTTTTTTCTTCCCACATTTAATGTTGTTGTCACTCAGGATTATGCTACATTATCAAAGTAAAATGGTTTACAAAAGCAGTTTATTGATGTTTTTAAGCACTATCTGCATGAACCTTGATATACCTTCCCAATATTAAAGGATGTCTTATTTAAGCTTCTTGTTTTCTCTTTTTTTTTTATTGCCATCTCTAAACAGACTACTTAATTTTCCATCTTCTCCTCGTTCTTTGCTTTAGGTATTAGAAGACAACGATTACGGCCGTGCAGTGGATTGGTGGGGTCTGGGAGTGGTCATGTATGAAATGATGTGTGGCCGGCTGCCATTCTATAACCAGGACCATGAACGTCTGTTTGAGCTCATTTTAATGGAGGAGATTCGCTTCCCCAGAAACCTCTCGCCCGAGGCAAAGGCCTTGCTGGCCGGCCTTCTCAAGAAAGACCCCAAACAGAGGTAAGAAGAGCGTCTGTTTCCACTTTTGTTATGAAAGAGGATCTTGCGTATGTTTTAATAACGTGTTTTGGTGTTTTTAAGGCTTGGAGGAGGTCCTGAGGATGCCAAAGAAGTGATGACACACAAGTTCTTCAGTTCCATGAACTGGCAAGATGTCCTTCAAAAGAAGGTAAGAGTTTAAGGCAGTGGGAACCGATTCATTGGATGTAATCCTCACACAAATGAGAGAATGTACACTGCTAATCACTTTGACAGATGCTCTCGAATCTCGTTTACTTTCATGTTCCAATATTGTGTCAGTGTGATTGATTGCAGCATGATCGGAAGACATATCCTCAAACCCAACATGTTTTTTTACTTCATTAGACGTTTAACAGCAAACAGTCATTTATGCTGATCTCGGCATGTGGTTAATGAGGGATGTGTGAAAACCAAATGTTCTCTAGAGCTTTTTCTCAGACTCACCTCTCACCCTCCTCTTGTTTTCTGCAGCTCATCCCACCCTTCAAGCCGCAAGTGACCTCAGAGATAGACACACGCTACTTTGACGACGAGTTCACGGCACAGACCATTACTGTCACGCCACCTGACCAATGTGAGCACCTCAGTTCTTCTTCCTTGCCTGTCTGCTTGTGACATGTTACAAATCTTTGTGTGTCTGCGAAAACGATTAGCAAGTGGAAAATGACAGCAAATATTTTAGCCCTCAAAAAATGTTCCAAACAAGTCGCACAAATAGGTGGTATTGTGCATGTGTCGAGCTCATCCATCCGCACTCATTTGCGGTTGGGTATACTTTGAAAGCTATGCGGACGCGGCTGGGCACAAGACGGAACAGAACGTTGAAAGTGAAGTATACCCAGGCCTTAAGTTGCACTGAATTAAAAATGCATTGAGAAAAAAGTTGCATTGGTGTACGACTCCCTTGATGAATGATATTATTACTTTCAGAAGTAATGTAAAATGTCTGTAAATGATGTACAAACATAAACAATACGAAGATTATAGTCGCATTCTTTATAAACAACATTTAGGCTATTATAAAGGTCAAACCTACTTAAAGGGATAGTTCACCCAAAAATGAAAATTCTGTCATTGATTACTCGTAAAACCTGTAAGATCTTCGGAATACAGATTCTGCGAGCTTTCTGACCCTGCATAGCCAACTGACATTAACGCAACTGACATGTTCAAGTCCCAGAAAGGTAGTAAGGACATTGTTAAAATATTCCATGTGACAGAATTTTCATTTTTGGGTGAACTCTCAAAAGGAATAAATGATTAAATGAGACGATTTGGTTTTCCATTGCTTGCAGATGACAGTCTTGATGCGGAGGACCCAGATACACGCACACACTTCTCACAGTTCTCCTACTCAGCCAGTGTGCGGTCAGTCCTGGTTTCCAATTGGCCTTTCATCCGGCCAGTCCGTAGCCTGACACTACACACTGCAACACAATCCATCAATGAATCACTGAATAAATCTCAACCAATCAGGTACCGTCGAAAATACAGCTCAGCACCAGCAGGTTTCAGGACACACGCTCACACTCAAAACACTGGACTACGGGACTAAAGCCTCTTGTAAACACAAATATCGAACACACTCTAAATCATCTTGTGGGGACAAGAGAAATCAATTTGGACTTATTTCCCACTGATTGTTACAGTTTTAAAGCCATATTTCTGCAATTGTACAAGTGCTCTTTCTGGAACTAGCTGTTACCAATAGTGTTTTTACAGCGGGAGGACCGACGATGGGGTAACACAGAAAGGAATAGTGCTGTTTCTCTGCCTGGGTAGCGTACCGAATGCTGTGCGTCGACGGATGCGTGTTCTCAGTCTACATCTTCAACTGTGTGTCTTTTTGTGTTTCCATTTTGTACATGCGCATAACGTTAAGGAGTTGAATGGGGGTGGGATTGTTAGGGGTTTGGAGACTCGCACACTATAGATGTGAAAATTTTTGTGCTTTAAAGGGAAGAGAGAGAGAGGAAGACAGCTCTAGCGTGTTAACAGAGAGGCTGTGGTTTCCTCCACATCCAGGAACCTTGAAACCGGCTTTCTGGAGAGGCGTTTTTCCAGTTTTCATCTGCAGCCCCAGAGGCTTGGTGTTCCAAGGTTAGTGTATAATAGAAACTGTCCATCATGTTGTTTTCATTCTCTCGAGCGTTTTGCAGGCATTGATGTTCAAATTTAGAGACATACTTACAGGCAACAACCATAACAGAAAAAAATAAGGATTTGAATGTCCTGTTATTTAACTGCAAGAGCTACTGCATCAGCATGACCGACTGGTTAAAGTAGCAAACAGTGGAAACGCGTACCTGCGTGCTACGCTATTGTTGTCGCAGCCTTGACACTTTTTTCATTTCTCCTTTTTTTTTTTTTATTAGTGTAGTCAGAAAGAAAAATGGTTAGGATGTTTGAGAGAAAATGTTCAACTTCATCTCCAGATGTGTAACGTAGGTGTGCTTCTCCAGACAGAAGCCGTCAGAACGCACCGCTTAGATGTGTGAGGCGTTTTCTTCTTTTGCCTTTTTAAAGATGCTTCATGGGCAAGGAACATCAAACTATTTTGTTTTTTGTTTTATTCCTTATTTTATTTGGATCATATTTTTTCTTCATTCGCCCACTCCCTGAAATTAAATTGTCTTGATAAAATATATATATAAATATATATTACAATAGTAACGTTTTTTTTTATTGTTTCTTTTGTCCATTTTTCCATTTGTGTGAATGTGTGGTTCACTTGTGCATGTGTGGGTGTGTAATAAGGTAGTCACAGTATATATTTGCAAGGGGAAATGAAAAGCTTCCTTTGTTGAGATATGACGAGCTTGAACGTGTTTAAACATGATATATTACCATCCCTCCTCCATAAACTTGCTCATACAGAAAGGGCCTCACTGGTATCAACAGCAGGGCCGAACTGAAGTGCTTCTATGGGTCTTAAGTGCATCAAGCCCAAAACTTGCTGTCTGCTATAGGCTATAACTCACTAGGTTTGGAAACGGCCCTTATTGCCTTGACTGAGAGAGACCGCCAGATGGTGCCATTTGCCCGTGTCATGAAATAATACATTGCTCCGGATATGACTCTTAACACATGCACACTCTAGTTCACGCCATGATGCTCAGTTATAGTTTTTAAAAGAAACTCTTGGGTGGAGACATGAGGGGCGAAGATCTAAAATGGCCTGCTGTAGTGCTTTCACCCGTTTTTCTTGTGTGTATATACCTACCTGTAGGACAAATCAGCTTTGAAGTGAAATTATTTTGCAAGTTTAACCACCGACTGTTCTGTTCTGAATGTGATGAACAATCACGAATGTCATCATTGATGCTCTGTTTGCTTTTTTAGTGCAAGGGATGCAAACGTTGGGGGAAACTTGAAATTTCAGCAAACTCTTTGATTTTTTTTTTTTTTGGGCTACAGAGTGCTATGGGGTATGCTTTGCTATTAGGACATACATGCAAGTAAATTCTTTTACCAAAAACTGTATGATGTCTGCCTCCTTTACTAACCCAACAGTATGTCAAATTAACCAAGTGCACAGCAGATTTTGAGACACAGAGTGTTATTCGGCTAGGGGTGAGCTCAAGGGCTCAAAAATGTGCACAGTTTTTGTTTTATTGAGGACGCTTATACTTTAAACATTTAAACATTGTCTGTATATATATAATTGAGCGCTTTTCAGCGGTGGTCTGGATAATAATGTACAACAGTCATTTTATTTAAGAATGAGGGTTGAGCTTTGTCATCTTTACAGCTGAAGTACCAGAAAAAATACATTAACTTCTATGATCTCAGACAGTGGAGAGCCCTGGAATTAAAGATTGAGAACCAGTGCTGCTATTGATTCACAACCAAAGATTTATTTTTATTTTCTTTGGGCATGTCAGTCACAGTGCTGATTGCCTATACAATAAACCCCTAAACTACATTACTAACCCCCTACACTACTAACTCCTAAATCTTAAACCCTAACCTTAAAGTGATAGTTCACCAAAAATGAAACTTATTTAGTCATTTTCGTCACAAAGCCTGGTTATGTCTTTCATGCCTGTGTGACTGACTGACTTAAGTGGAAAATAACCGAAAATATTATAAATATGGTCTATTGTCACCAAAAGCTTTTTGGTTACCAACATTATTCAAAATATCATCTCGTGTGTTCTGTAGAAGAAAGTAAATCATACAGGTTTGGGGCGACATGAGGGTAAACTGTTCCTTTAACCTATAGCGTTTCCTATAGCGTTGGGCAACACATCTTGGTAGATAGCATTACCACTAGGTCTGACAAGAAAAACAGAATATTGTAACTTTCAACATTTTATTGAAGACACTTGAGTGATCTTTGAGAGAATTGGTTGCATACAGTGAACCATCTGTCTTACAAGTTCTTTAAAAGCTAAATGGAATCCATTAAGAATGAGATTGAAAGTGTGGGTTGCACAGGTGCTGCCCTTTAAATAAAGCCAGGCAAAGCCTGGTTACAGGCAAGTCTGTTCTCAAGAAAATTGGTTAGCGCAAGCCGCAAACCATGACTCAATCCCAAAGTCCTTCATAGAAAACACGACAACTTTATAAGGGTACAAAAGCATTGCTAAAGACCTGAGTGTTAATGAATCCATGGTAAAATACCCTTAATATGTGGAAGATGTGGTCTTAAGATTTGGAAAATTCTGTACTGTTGCTGAGCAGACATCTTGCAAAGATCACTCTAATGATACAGGGAGTATTACGGACAACCCTAAAAGAGCTGAAAAAGAACCCAAGGATAGCAGCAAAGAGCCTCCTGAAAACTTTGAAATCTGTTTCATGTGGCCACTATCAGAAAAACACTGATTAAGAATGGTGTTCTTGAAAAGAACATGTAGGAAACCACTGCTGCCAAAAAAAATATTGAGCCATGTCTTCTGTTGGCCCAAAACAACACTTCTGGAAAAAATAATCTGTGCAGTTTTGACAGAAGTCGAACTTTTTTTGGCAAAAAAAAAATTTCAAAAAATTCCCAACTCAGAACCTGGGTGCTTTGCAGTCATTGAAAAAGCAATGAATCTTAAAGTGAATCAAGACATTTTACAGGAGAATGTCAGAACCGCAGATCATTTCTTCAAGCTTTAGATTGGATTGGGTGATGCAGCAACATATAATGACCCAAAACACAATGAAATAAATCTACTCATGAATGGATGAAAAATAAGGAAATATGTGTTTTCCTGTGTCCTGACCTTAATTCAATTGAGATGCTGTGGCATAAATGGACCATGCTATCAAGACAATACTGATAAACCGTAACAGATTTATGGGGAAGGATTCAAAGCTGGTCAAAAGTCTGCTACAACATTTGCTAGAGGTTGAACTGTTGAAGGAGGAACACTGTGAATAATTACTGCACGTATTCGATTAAAATGTGAAAATTACAATTGTTTGTATGATATTAGTTTAGTCAGATTGTGTTTGCCTACATCTTATGAGTAATCAATGCAGAAATCCAGACATTTTCGAAGGATAGCATAAACATTCTTGTCGTGGAAATTAACTTGAAATTAATCAGTGCTGATAAGAATACCTTTAACACAATGCACTTTCCATGAATATTGCAGATTTTTAAACATTAACATGATCAAATCTTCGTTTTTCTAGTAACTATTATGGGCCATTCTACAGAACTGGTCCAAACTGCTGTCCCACAACCAAAAAACACATTTAAGTAATCAAATATTAGATGTTTACTAAGATCCTTCTATTATCTATTGAAACCCACAATAATATTTTTTAAAATATTAGTAAGCTTAACATGTATAAAATCATCATTTACTGAGTACTTTCAATTGGGAGGTGGCTGTCCCAAACCCTAATCCCTAAATTTCAATTTACAGTGCCTTGCGAATGTATTCATACCCCTTCATTTTTTTTTCACATTTTGTTTTGTTGCTGCCTTATGTTAAACTGCTTTAAATTAGTTTTTTTCCACAACAATCTACACTCCATACACCATAATTGTCAAGCAAAAAAACTTTTTTTTAACATCTTTGCAAATTTATTACAAATAAAAAACTAAAATGATTCCATTGCATAAGTATTCATA